AAAAAAAAAATTCATGGATGTAAATACATGCATGAATTTTATATTCTATGCTTAGCTATGTTATAAAAATTTCAATTCGTAGGTGGGCAGCAAAACCTCTTGGAAGATGACCTAAAAACCCTTATCCTGTTGGTGAAAATTTTGTTGCACTTTGTTTTTCTTTAATTCCAAATTAAGTTGTAGTTTGCTTATCTGTTGATGAGTAACATCATGACCTCCACCAATCGATCAAACTAAACTAATATATATTTTAATGAAAAGAAAAAAAGTAGTATGGAGTGCGCTTTATCTTTGTTTTGACAAAGCATGATCATCAATGCCGTTATGCTTATCAACTTATCATTGTCATTAGTTAATCTAATCATGGATAACTAAGGTAGGCAAACTTAATCTTGTTTAGAGAATATGTGGGCCATTAGGGATAATTAAAACAACAAAAACTAATTCTTATCTCATTAAGTGAAGTGTAGTCGGTTGATGGAGATACAACGATCATTGCTTTGTGTCCAGGCCACAGAGGCGTCATTTCTAGGCGATGACCTAGTTTTAGCGTAATTTTGTTTATGATCCATTATTAGACCAATTCGACGTGAAAAACGAAGTGTAAACTGTCGACTACTTGACGCTCTTCCCCTCCTCCTTTATTCAGGCTTGGGACCGACAATGTAAGATAAATTTACATAGGCGGAGTTCCATTAGGGATATCAAAATTATCTGTTAATACAATGATATATCCATAAGATTAGAACTTAACGTTGTTACTTATAAATGAAAAAAAAAATCACTAAACAGTAGTAACATTCCTTATAATGTAATATTGCACGCATATGGGCAGATAGAGGAAATGAACACAAAGCGAGGGCTTTTTTATACAAATTTCTTAAGTCCAGTTATACTTTTCAATATGATTTTTAATTTAATATAGTAATGCATCGACTCTTCCTCCCAACATGATCAGAGTTGTATGCAGTAATTTATTGATTCCGCTTTCAGAAACCTGCTTTCTTGCAAAATGAATTGTTTGTTTGTTAGAATTTCAAAACTATTAAACATCATACAAAATTAAAGAGTACCCATCACACCAAGATGCACTTATCTGAACTTTGATAGAAACTTTGTTAGAAATTTCAACTCGATCAAAAGAAAAAATAGTGCTACATATCAGTTTTACAAATTATGGGTATCCTCAAATAATACATCAACAATCAAGTCAGAGAGTTTCTCAAATCAAAGCAATTCGTTTTCCACCTATACTTTATTTAACAAAATAGTACAAAATTCAAAGAAAAATGTGCCTGAAAATGTGCCCAAATTGATTCCCCGTTGACATGTTAAAGTCTTAGGATATAAGGTTTTAAATTCACCCATGTTTTAAGTCTCCAAATAACACAAAGTCACCGATGAATAGAGCATCGAATACAATGGCAACAGCTATATTACATGACAAGTGTTGACAACTAGTGGGGGCAGGAAAATCAATGTGCATGCTCAGAGGGATTTGGATCCTCTCCGGATCCCCTCCCTGGGGATCCCGGGGATCAAGACAGAAGGATCGTTTATCAAAGATCGTGCGGTCATAATTAAATGTTTTTTATGCAAAATGAGATTGCTTTACTTTTAAAAATATAAAAAACATTTATTTGTGACCGTACGATCTTTGGTGAACGATCCTTGTGCCTTGATCCCCGGGATCCCCAAAGAAGGGATCCGGAGAGGATTCAAATCCTGCGTAGAGCAGTTTATATCCAGCAAATCAAAAATTAAGATCATCTCCAACCAAAAAGTAATTTGAAAACGACATATTTTAGAAAATCGAATAAGCCTCCATGAAGGTTTAAAAAAAAGGAAAACTAATGAAAAATGTTTGAAAACTGTGAGCTTTAATGATAAGGACAAAATAAAAGGTAAAGTGAATAGTATCAGAATTGACTTTTTGGTGTAAAAATATGGTTTTTCGTTAAAATGAACAATATCGTAGGCTTTTCGTTAAAACTCCCTTAAAAAAATGTCAACCTCTAGGTACTTGGACATTTCTTTTTTGTCAAGTTCATCACTTGATAACATGGTGCGCATCCTAAAATGTATTAAAAATTATAGAGGAGTTAATATTAAACCCTCCATAATTGGAGATGGGAACATTAGCCCTCTACCATTCCTTAAAAAAGAAAATAGTTTAAGGGCTAAATTTGTGCCCAAGAGCTTATATTTGCCATCTATGATTGGAGGCCTAAGTATATATTGAATAACCTCTTTTTACTTTCACAACGGCTAAGAGCATCTCCAATATAGCAGGAAAATGATTAGCCAAATTTTTATTGATGAGCCACATTGGCAAAATCAAGCTCCAATAGAGTAGGCCATTGAGTAAGTAAACTTTGCCTACTCCCCCAATGTATACAGCATTGCCTACTTCTACATGTGTAGGCAAAACTGAACCTACATATCTTTCTATCTATAATAAAGTATTTTGTAGGAGGGAAAGAAGACAAAAATAAAAGATAAAAACAAATCTTATAGGTGAAGGACAATAATAAAATGAAATTTTACCTACTTAGTTTACAAAATACTAGGGAGACCAACATTTAAGACCATATTTTGTAGACCACATGACGTAGCAGTTGATAGTTGGACTCTTTTTTAATCATTTAAGGAGTCCAACCATTAATTGTCACATCTTGTGGTTTACAAAAAATGATTTAAAAATTGATCTAGCATCACCCATTTGGTTTGGCTATTCCATTTGAGTAACACTTTTTCATAAGACCATTGAGCATGCAACTTGACACATTCGCCGTTATAGTACAGTTTTACTTATTTTGTTTGCCTACACCATTAAAAATCATTAAAAATGCTCTAAAAACGTTTCCAGTCAAAAACACTTTTGAAATTGTTTACTAATAAATAGTTAGTTGTAGGTACTTTTTAGAAAGCTCACCTAATTTATAACAATGAAGCCCTATTAAAATGAACAGTACTGGAAGCTTTTTGTTAAAATTCTCTTATATAAAAGCAATTTTGCTAAAGTGCTTATAAAAACTGTCCAAAATCAAAATGAAAGATCTTTCTTTCTTCCTTTTTTTTTCTTTTTTTTTATTTATTATTATTATTTTTTTTTAATACAGTTTATAAAGGAGATCTAGTCTCCTACTCACGATATGATTTGTGAATGTAGGAATGATTGAATTCAGATCCTTGTCGGATCCTTATAAAATCCATAAATCATATTCGTTTATTGTACATTGTGCGATCAGAAATTATTTTATTTAAAATTAAATAAAAATAATACTTAACAAAAAATAACCGTACGATGTACGATTAACGGATATAATTCTTAATCCTCCACAATCCTCACAGAGAGGAGAGAGAATCCTGTTGGGGAATGATTAATGCGCTTAACGGACAATTGGGTACTCACTAATCAGTACCCAAACCCTCTTATGTGGCCCAATAAAATGATTACACCTGTCATATGAAACTCTCTCCCAAACTCATAGTTATCTTGCTACCCAAACAGCAATTTTCTCCTTTCAACCTTAACCAACCATACTTCTCCCACATCAGGACACAAGCAGGCACAAATATACATTTTCACCCATAACCACCAGCCACCGTCCTCTTCCACCACCATCAGCCACGTCCATTCCGCGTCTGTTGACCCAGCCCAATCCCTACTCCTTCAAACCCAGCCCCAATCCCGCCTACATCATAATTTAAAAGTAATCGCATACGGCTCACACCCTACAGATCCAATGCTATGTAAATCTGACACGCATGTTATAAAAAGGTTGTATCTCATGTCTACATACCATGTGATATACTCACTCAGACCAATGAAGCCTGAAGTCCAGACTCACATTTTGAAAACTTACATCAACTAAACAATTCTAATTCATTCTAAGTCGCTATCATCTTAACTAACATTCTAATTGGTTGTAGGCGAGGATTGCACGCCTAGTTGGTCTTCGCATTAGAAAACATGCCATGCCCGCCCGAACTAAAGAATGAAGACCATCTCGGCTTAAGTGAAGAAGGAAGTAGATTCTTTGAGCAGGGGTGATGTAGCACAATTACCATGAGAAAGATGTACCTAAGCACGAGGGTATAACTTTGATGTCCTAGGCTTGTGGTGGAATGTGCAACTAGGCATGCTTCTATATATTGAACAAGCACCAGCAGTGACGGTGTGTATCCCTTTTCCTATTTCCCTTTTCAAGACTTACAAAGAGATGTAGAGCTCAATTTCCTACCTTTTAGTCATTCAGAGCACATGCAATACATGGACAAGCAACATATAGTATCCTTTGAGTCCTCTTTCAACTTCAGAGAGTATTAACTCACTCAAACAATTAGAGAACGATATTAACACTTTTGAGCATGTTTCATATATGCGAACCTATGCACAACAATTATTCCCTAGCCGACAAGCCTCTCTTACAGTAATAAATTACAGATCGAAATGACAGTAGCATAGTAAATAGAAAAACAAACTAGAGAAATTGACATGTTTTAGTCAGTGGTAAGTCAACCCCCGAGCCAAGGGCAAGAGACCATGCACAAGAACACACACGGGCATGAAGGTACAAATAAGCTTATTGGTACTGTTATAAAATCTATGCCTCCTACTTCGAACCATTACATGGGCATCAAAGTGTCGTTCTTTCAAAGCCTCCAATTGTAAAGTCGCAAATAGAATCAAAGGTCCTAAATTAGTTATGAATTTGTAATGGACTCCTAAATTATTTAGGTTTACATTCTCCTACATCAAATATATTTGTACCCTTACTTAAAAGAAACAAACCAGCAACCATCTCTATGGTAACATCTGATTCGGAAACAAATCAGAACGAGCTTACACACCCAGATCAGGCGATGGTTCATCAAAACATCAAAGGTTAAAACTACACCAAAGCTATTAGCTTTCGTATAAAACAAACTCAGTTTTCTGAAATTCCAATCAAACAATTCTAAATCATGACTTATTCATAAAAGAGAAAACAGCATTCAACAAATACAGAGTACACATCACATTAGCGAACTTCAATTGTTTCAAATTCAAGTATAACATAACTCACAACGACATCTCCAACATCAATCATTCGGCACTTGACAAATAAAAATAAAGTTGGAAGCCACAAACTATTAGATCTCAACAGCTATAAATCAAGCCAAAGTTAAGACAAGAGCTCCAAATTAGACAACTCCATTCTCTTATTTCGTTTTATTACCTCCGGCGGAATTCCCTCCCGCCGCCCCCGCGGCCTTCTTCGCCTGCTTTTCTTGCAGCGCTTTCGCATCCCTGCAATCGATTTTTCAAAGAAACAGATAAATTTACAAATTGGGTTTTATCAAAAGCTTAAAGCAAAGTATAATATTCAATAAAAGCAGGGAAATTGGACCTCTCTCGGCGCTGCTCCGGCGTCAAGCCGTCGTCTTTGTTTTTCCCAGCCTTGGCCCGGGCGGCGGCTCTCTCCCGGTCACGCTCTCTCTGGTTGCCGCGTGACTAAATCTCAAAAATCAAAGAAAACACACAATTTCGTTTTTGTTTCAATCCACAATAACAAAGAAAAAAAATACATGGACTCGAAGGCAATGGAAACCTGGCAAAAAAGATTCGAAACGTTGAAAAAACCATGATTACGAGATCAATCATAAAAATTGAAGAAGATAATGAATGAATAAAAAATCAAATGACAGAAGATTGATAAATAAATAAATGGAATTAAAAGAAGAAAGGATATGAGTCATGATGCAGATTGCTGAGTGCCAAAGCAAAGGAATAGCCGAGGAGCGGAGAGGAAGACAGCAAGTCAATTGGGAAAGAGAGATCTGGGGTTCCAAGTTAAAGGATTTTTGGTTTTTTATTTTTTTATTTTTTTAGGGTTGCAATGCAAAGTTGTAGGGTGGTGGCAGCAAATCATTACCATAAATAAGTCATGAACTATTCATCATCCGGTTGGGCTTGGACTCCAACTATTACGTTAATTTAGAAGCATCTATGGCTCGTTTGATAAATGTGGACCATTCGATCTTGCGACCATTGTACACTTGAACGTTCTAGATCGTACCACATTTACAAGCGTCAAGGAAGGTTAACACTTTGACATCAGTGGGCCGACAACATCAAACCTATGTGTTTGCATAAAAATAAATAACGTAATTGAAGTCAATTTTGTTTAAAAAAGCCAGCTTATGCTAGAATTGATTGGAATCTAAGTCGGGCATGGTAAGACCTGACAATTGCCCTAACAATATTTGATCGGTGGAGCTTGTTTTTAGGGTTTGTGGGCAACTCTTTCCCTTTTACCTTGGTAAATTGGGCATGTGTGGACTTGCTTTTAGACATAGATATGATGGTTTCATAAGGAATGATGGATATTAAAGACTTCACATGCAAATCTGTCAATTGTGCGTAACTCAAAATTACTGTTGTATGTAATTTTTATTGTGAAATCGAGTTGCATCTTATGTCAAAAATCACTCAAATTCGAGTGAGCCACTAGTTATAGCACTTTGCAAATTGACTTCAATAGAGAAATAATCTTATGCTCATATCATCACCATCATTCTCAAGTTTTAGACTCTAGTGTGTGCATGAAGAAAATTTGATATTTGCACATACAGAAAATGAGGGCACCTTAGGCCGTCTCCAACCGAGGGCTAGGTCAAAGGGCTCGTGGGCCCCATTGGACAAAAAAAGGCCAAAAGGCCAACCTGCTGGCCTAACCCAGCCAGCCAGCCCCGGGTCGGGCTAGAAATTTGAATGCAACAGCTAGCTGACGTTTGACGTCAGCTAGCCGTTTTATTTGATTTTTTTTTTTGGCCAAATTTTTTTTTTAAATATTTAATTGTAGGTCCAAAGGTGATTTATTCAAAGCTGGGCGTTGCGATGTGGCTTTTATAAGTATGTTTGGGTATTCAAATCTCTCCCACAGCTGATGTGGGACTCTCCCACCCACTTCCCTTTTCTTTTTTTTTTCTTTTTTTTTATTTAACTCTAAATAAAATCTCTCACATTTGACTTGAAATATATAAGTTGTATTTTTTAAATTTTACTTGTAGTTAAATTTAAGTTGTATTTTTTAAATTTAAGTTGTTGTAACTTTTAAATTTAAATAATAAATTATGTTTGGCCCTTTGGCCTTCGGTTGGAGATGTTTTTTTGTGACAGGGTTAAAACGTGTCATATGATCCTACATTGTTTATTAAAATATTAATTTCTTGGAGGACCAGATGGCTAAAACGAACCATCTAGTCAGCATTCGGTTAGATATAACCTTAGGCATCAACCTAGTATTGAACTATGACAGGATACTATGCAAAGACACCATAGCACAAATTGTTATTGGTGAGTATGAATAATCTAAGCACTTGCGTGTCGTGAAACAGATGCACCACCTAATGTAGGCTGGATTATTGTTTGAACATCTTTTTAAATCGCATTGGATGAATTGCTTTTGGATTTGGGGTTTTGAGAATTTTTGGATATGGATATAAGGTTCTTGAATAGTCTGCTCTCACACAGTGTGTGGAATAGTTATAATAAAAAATGCCATTACTCAAGAAAAGTTTAAATTACTTTAGTCTAAAGAAGCTGGCAAAATTGCACTGTAGAAATGAACAGTGTTTTGAACCACATTTCAGTTTATTTACAAGATTACCACTCGGATGCTTTTAACCAACTTTCACTTAATTTACAAAATTGCCACTCAGGCTTAAAAACCTATTTTCAGCCGTCGGCTGCATTTCACGTTTGACTCGGCGAGAAAGAGAGAGGAGGGGGACATCACGCCTGACAAATTGGAGAGAGACAATCGCTCGCATTTTTGACTCGGAGACAGCTGGGTGTGCCTCTGTCGAGCGGAGAGAGGGGGACAGAGCGACTACAGAGGAGGGAGACACAGGGCCTGACAGATTGGAGAGAGATGGGAGCTACGGGTTTGTCTTTGTCTCTCTGTGTGCCGCTGATCTTGATGCCGCGTGTTGATAATCATGGAAAGGCAGGGGTGCGATGGTCGTTTTAGTCTGTAGGGTTTCGAACAGGATTGGGTGGGTTAGGGAGACTTTCATTTCCTTTCTTTCTGTGAGCTGCAAAGGGACTTGGGGAGACCATGCCGTCAGGAGAGAGAGCGGGAGGGAGAGAGATAGGGATTTGGTAAGGGGAGACATGCGGCTTGCAGCGATCCACTCTGTTGGCATCTCCCTATAACCGAGTAGCTTGGTTTGGATCGGGCGATTCCGGAGGCCCTGCCATCGAGGTTAGTCTGAATCGATTCCTATCCTATTGACTTATTGCATGTCAAAATCTGCTTCAAATTTGTGATTTAATATAATTGGGCTTTAGAAAAAAAATTCATGATTTTGTCTAATCCAATTGAATGATTAGAAAAATTTTCATTAAATTTCTGGGTTCCTGGGGGTTTCTGAATCGTGATGCTGAGAGAGATTGGTTGCTTTAATTGCTAATGAAATTAGCTTCTAAACGTTCATAATTTGCCTTTTTTATGTTCGTTCTATATTTTCTTTGAGTTAAGATATATATATATATATATATATATATATATATGTTAAAGAAGGCATAAAAAAACTATACATTTTTATGATATTCTCTGTAATATTAAAGAAGGCATAAAAAACTGGACATTTTTATGAGATCTGGGTCTGTATGGGTCAAAAGTGAAAAATTACATGTGAATTTTCGACTTCCGATTATTTATTTATTTGGGTATGATAATGGTATGCAAACATATTGTTGCTCTTCGACTTCCGATAATTTATTTATTTATTTGGGTATGATTGACGGCGAAACATATTTATTTATTTATTTGGGTATGATTGACGGCGAAACATATTGTTATTACACGTGAATTTCAAATGTAGGCATAAAAAACTGAATATTTGTTTTAGGTCTGGGGTTCTCTCTGTTAATTGTTGTAATTATGTTTATTTTCACCGGTATGTTACGTACTGAAAATATATCCTGTTTTATTAACTTCTCTTGCAATTTGAAAGTGTATATAATCTGCATTGTTCTTACTGGTGGTATGAAAGCGTCAAGGGGGAAGAAGCGAAAGAATGACTCTGTCTGTAAGGTATACCTCCGGGTCATTATACATATCTCTCTGTTCATATTATTTCCTTTTCATTCTTGCTAAATTATTGGGTTATTATATTTGTGTACAGATATTAGTGTATTTGTTAATTGGATTTCGATAATTGGAGTTCAAATATTACATTGTTATAGAGATACCAATTTCTCATATGATTGCAATTTGCATGTAGATATGTGTTATCTGATTCAATCACAAAATTTGTATCCCTTTAGCTAATAGTATGTTCATTTGCTGAACTGGGTTGGCTTCAGTTTTAGGTTTTATTATGCGGTATGCAGTTGGTCAATTCTTGAACATATTCTCAATTTAGAACGAGAGAAACTAATGATTCTTCTGAATGAAAATGTTTCAGATGGGTTTCTGTAATGCAAATTTCATGATGTTCATAACGCTGATTTGATTCTCTCATAAGAAAGGATCTCCTCTCTGGCTTTCTGGGCCAAGTCATCGAAGCTCTCTCTGTAAGTAATTTCTCACCATTTTCATCATATTTACCCCCGTCGTAGTAAAATCAGATTTCTTTGGTTAAATTGATTGCGCCAATCAGTTCATTTGCTTTCAATTTCTTAGTTCTCTGCTTGGTTGCTGGGAAAGTGTAGGAAAAATGATTTAAATTTACTTCCTTTTATGTTTTCGACTTCAATCTTCGTAGTAATTGTACCTAAATGAGCTGACTTTTGTTACAGTTTTTGTGGAATTCCATCTTCTTTCTGTTATCTGATTGATCTAATGATTTAAAATGTATATAAAAAGTGACTTGATTTTGTTTTTTGCTCTGTTGACTTCTGATTCTGAACTGTTTAATTGGATTCATTATCAAAAAAGCTGATTTTTTTAAATATTTATTTATTATTATTTTTTTTTAAAGAAAAATGATTCTTGAATGCACAATGTTGATAGGTTTTTATTGCCCATCTCAAAGACTGATAAATTCACTTTTGGGGGAACATACATGCCTAGCATTTTTTTCCTGTGCTGATTTGAGCTGCAAATGTACAAGGGTTGGTCTGAATTGACGATCATAGATTTTGCGTATGCAAATGAATACGAATTTAGGATCTTGAGCATTGTGGTGGTATGATCTCATGATAAAATGTCCAAGAATATATGATTTTTTTTTTCTTTTGATTCAGTATCATGACTCAGTTGCAAAGCACTAAACATTGTAGTTAAATACTTGCATGCTAATGGTTTGGTGTAATGGTAACTCATTTAGAGAGAGAAAGTGGCAGCAGTAGTGGGGAAGGAAGAAGGACTATTCATGTTTCTATTATCATTTTTGCCATTCGAAGCTCTGGGGTTTGGCTTTGGCTCTGTTAGCTGTTGAGGTAATTATTAATTGTAATTTTTTTTTTCAGTATTCGGTGAGTTTGATCATATGGGTTTGACCATTATGAACAGGTTCACTTTTTAGGGTGGGTAATTTTGTGGTTTGAAAATTATGTGTTAGAAGTGTGTAAGTTTGGGCTTAGAAATGGGTTTTCTGTTAAAATTTCATTTATGTGATTTTGGGGGTTTTGTTTCAAGCAATCTCATCCTTTTAATCGGACTTATTCCAAATTTTATTGGTGGGTGTTGGGTGCTTTTGAATTTGGTGAAATTTGTGATTTTTCAGTGCTTCAATGGTGTTTTGGAATGATTGGTATTTTGGTGACAAATGCAACTAATTATGTGGATCTTAATTTGATGATTCATTTCTTTCACTCAGTGTGTCAGGAAATGAGTTCAACCATGGATTCATATACATTGAAGTCCACATCAAATTTGTCTGCTCTCTGACCTGATTGAGTGAGGGAGGAGGGATACAGCGCAGAGAGAATATGACGGAAATTGAGGAGGAAGCCCAAGCTTTCAGAGAGTTAGTGAGATCTGAAGCCCATGCCTGGATGAACTGATTTAATTTGAGCACACAGAGCTCAAATCTGGTGTTCAAAAATAAGGCGGAGGCCACAAAGTTCTCAAATCCAAGATGAAAAGGTATAATCCAAGCCTCTGCAACTATTTGTCTCCTTGATATATATATATATATATATGCCATTAATTGTTAAAACAATGTCTTCGTATGATTTTTTTTTTTAAGTTTATATTTTTGGTCTGCGTCTATTCCCTCTACTCTCATCCCTCTCCTCCACCACACCTCCTCTCCCCCCCCTCTCTCTTCCCCCCCAGAGGCGCGCATCCCATCTTTGTCGTTGTCCATATTCTTCTCTGTGAATCAATGTCAATGTTTAATTTTCATGGGAGGTGCAAAAAAAATTTGGACTTTTTGTGATCCCACAACCCCACCCCCACATATAATTGGCTTTAAAGGGTTCTGGGCTCTGTAGATTCTGTTCATTATTTCAAAGTATTATTATTTTTTTTAGAAATTTGAAAGATTGTTTCAAACATTGATATATAAAAGCAGTGCAGTTTGGCATATCAAATCAACCTGCTGCTTTCTTGGGACTCTAATTCTTAGGTGAGTTCTTCTGTTTCTCATTTTATTGATGCTTTTTGGTTTTCCTTTCATCTAGGTTCTGTAATTTTCATATAGTTTTTTGTTCTTTTGATGCATTTGCTGCTATGATCTTCTAACTGCTGAAGTTTCTTCAGTCTGGTATGTCATTTTAACGGTTGGAATTCCACAATTTGATTAGTTTTGATAATTTCCGAAAGAAGAAGAAGGCCATGTGTCCAAGTTTTAAAAGGCACACTTTGTAATGCTTCAAAATTTCATGCTTTTTTCAGGAATTCAGACAGGCAGGATGCGGATACTTCTGACTTTATCGAGGTTAGTGAATTATGTTGTTTCTCCACGGGGTGCAGTTTTATTGTTACACTTTGTAAAGCTTCAAAATTTTATGTTTTTTTCAGGAATTTAGTAGTCCCCATCATCATCAGTTTGTCTGCTATTGCAGTTAGAGAAGCATTCCACAGAAGAAGGCGGGGTTACACCTTCAGTTTATTCGTGCAAAGAACCAGTATGTCCAAAAATATATGTTACTCGATTCTTAAAAACTTTATGGCATGACAAAATAAATTTACAAATTGCTAATTTTTCTGTTTTGTATAAAATCTTTGTTCACTCTACCTGAATAGGTACACATGTTAAGTTTTCTTTCATCTTATCTTTGGCACAGAAAGCACCATCAAAATTTAACCCTTTTTTTTTTTTTTTCATTCGGCTGTTGAGGAAGGGATTGTTGTTGGTGGATGAAACCTTTAGGTAATTATCTGTTGCTTATTGAACTCCCCCAATCATGAGTTTTGACTCGGAAGAAGATTTTGATGATGACAGATACTGAATTAAATTTTGGCTCAAATTGTATTGAAAATTGCAGTTCGGAGCAATTTTTATGAGGAAGAAGGATGAGTCCCAAACATATGTATGAATTTAGTCAATTTCTACATGCTCCATTCAGTAGATGAATTGTAAACATATGAATTTCAAGCATCTGAATTGAATAGATGCTTTTAATTCTTCTCTCATCTAAACCTTAGATTTTTCTGCAATTTTATTTCTATGTTGTTTATATCATTGTTGTTTGAATATATGGTTAAACTTATTTCATTAATTCTTGATGCCGTGTGTTGATAATCCTGGAAAGGTAGGGGTGCGATGGTCATTTTAGTCTGTAGGGTTTTGAACGGATTGGGTGGGTTAGGGAGACTTTCATTTCCTTTCTTTCTATGAGCTGCAGAGGGACTTGGTGAAAGCATGCTGTCAGGAGAGAGAGCAGGAGGGATAGAGATAGGGATTTGGTGAGAGGAAGGCATGCGGCTTGCAGAGAGGAGGAGGGGAGAGAGATGGGGAGGAAGGAAGAGTGAGAGCGATAGGGATTTGGTAAGGGGAAGAAATACGACTTGCAGGTAGACAAAGTCATAAGGGTGTACGATTCAAGAGAGAGAGAGATAGGAGATTGAGTCGTTGCATCACTCTCACTACCTGCACTCTTGAGCCATGAAGGCCTAAGATTGAGGACAAAGGCCATGGTTGCACAGAATAACTGAGATTTGAAGCCCATGACAGCCTCAGCTGATTGAGGTGAGGAGTCGTTTTCAAATCTTTTGTGCTTTAGGATTAGGTTTGCAAACTCTATTCATATCATGCAGCTTCAAATTTGAAATTGTGATTTTGGTCAGCAAGAATTCTAGGGTTTGTGAGGTTTACACATTTTAAATCTCCTTTTGTCTTCCAATTCTCTCTACTTTATTGCTATGTGATGTAACTCTTATTCTGTATATTTTACTGACCAATTGAATGTGCAAAGATAGCGATTGAAGCCTTTTGTTGCTGGGAGATCGTTTAGAGGTAAAAACCCAGCTTCCTTTTTTATTTTTTATTTTATTTTTCTTCTTTGTTTAAATCTATTAGTTCTACTTAAGGAATGAATTATGATCAGAATTTGTTTCAAGTAATGCGAGAGTGAAATTCGAGAGAGAATGTGATGAATCATATTAATGTAGAGAACCAGTGCGCCGACCAAAGACGTTAAGGCTGCTCTCATTGATAGCAATTGGGGCTTGATATAGGTCACTTCTCGATATTTAGGGTTTAGGGTTGAGCCTCAAACATGGCGGATGCGTACTGGATGACAAAGACAGAGAGAGAGTGAGAGAGAGAGATTTGGTGCGGATCTTTGATTCCGGAGTGGGAGTTTGATAAAGAATGTGACTTTAAGATGACAATTTTTGAAATTGTGTTGTGGGCATGTGTGAAGCTGAATGATGCAACCTTTGATCTCTCCCATCTGAATAAAGCTTAATTTTTATATTAAAATGTAATAATATTCAAATGTATACTAAGTTTCTCGGTAGCCAAAACAGACCCTTTACATGATTTTGTGTAGAATTCGTTTAAAGATTTAAAATTTCTCCACTCTGTTAATGGGTTTGATTTTTCCCCATCTGTTTTGCAGTTTGAGTCTACTGAGTTCTGTGGATTCACTCAACTGCAATCATCTCTTCTGCAAGTAATCTCTACCTTCATTGTTATTCACATATGAATGTTAGGTTTTATTTGGATGTATTAATTGTCATTGGCAGTACTATAAAAAACAATCTTTCTGCATTATTCTAGGTTTAATATCTAGCTTTTTAGTTGTATATTACTTATATGGGTCTTTAACTACAATATCAAATTTCTTACCTTTTTTCATGTTTTTACTTTTAACTTACTGATATTTATTTTAGAATGTGGAATTCTATCTAATATTTGTTTATTTCCTGACTGTCTTAATCCCTCACTGTCTCTAGATTTTAAATTTTGGTAAGAACCATGAAAATGACTGAAAAGCATGATGTTGTTTTCGAAATACATATTAGTATCCCCTTCTCACCCAAATGCCAAAATCAGGTGGCTTGATTTGAGGTGTTTTAAGATATTGTAATTGAATGAACAATTAGGTTACACTTTAACAAAAATGTGTAAAAAGGGTTGATAACCACATCTTTAATAGAGAAGTACTATTTTGTCTTTGATAGTTGTCAACAGATTTGTGGCTGAGTCAATAACATGCTCTGAGTCTGGAATCTTTGCTCCTCTTTTGCATTACCAAAATTTGTTTCATGTAGCTTGGGAAGAAAATTTTGAGCATGGGTGCAAGATCGTTTACATGTAAGACCATTTGCTCATGCAATTTGGGATGCTCATTTTGCAATCCCACAATAGAAAAAAAGTTTAAAGTCTTAATTGAAAACGTTAATTCCCAGCCATTTATAACAGGATAGCTTTTTAAGTGTGAATAATCATATTGTTTGTTACACATTGTTGTATAACCATTTGTGTTGAAGATTAGCACTAAACAAGTTATGTAAATCCAATCAACTCTTTACATATAGAAGGTTCTGCAAATATAACTAAGCTACCAACTAATACTTAGTAGTCAAAGTACTCCAATGTTTGGAGTCATCGGTAAAATAGGAGCAACTATATTTTGGGCATCTCTTAATATGTATATAATATCAGTGTACATAGTCAAGCTATAAACTACTACTTTATACTTTATACAAACCCTAAACCCTTCTGAGTTCCCACATATTTTCATTGTTTCATTTATACATCTATTGGAGGATTGGAGAGGATTGAGAGGCAGATGAGTGAGACTTCTGATGGTTACACAGAAATAAATGGTCTCTTGCATCTTGAACCAGATTACTCTGGGTTTGGCAGGTATAAATAATTCTAGCCTTTTTTTAGAGGAACTACGCTTTCCATTTCAATCAAAATATTCTGTTATTAGAAGCAATTACATTGAGTTAGGCCAACTAAAATGGCTGGACAGAAAAAATGGTCCTAATTGTTCACTCTCTAATGATGTTGGCAAGTAACGTTGATTGTTAAAAACACTGGTGGTGCTTCTGTTTTCCACAATGTAAGCCCAAGATTATGCGATGGTGCTCAATTTGGATTTATTGCATGGCTAGAAATATGATCTTGCAGTAAGTGTTGAAGACAGTTATATGCCAAGGTATTGATGATTTCGAATCCCAGTTTAAAAACAGTCAGATTTATATATATTTTGCATCATTATAATTAGTCTACTTGGGTTAGCTTAAGATTACAGAGAACAGCCTACTACAAGGGGGAATAAATCTTTCTTATGGCATGCATATCCATATATAGCAAGCAAAGTTTCACTTCGTTGGTTCTTAGGCATTAGACCGTCTTTCCTTTAGCTTATAATTAGCTGCTCATGAATTCTTGGCATCTTATTTTATTCTTCTTATTGGGGTGTTTTACAGCACCGTAGATTTTTTCGAGGAGCTTTCTCAGTTTGTTGTCAAGGCTGGTTCAATTTTAAGTAATATTTATGGTGTAGATTGGGAAAACAAACTTGAGGTATCAATTTTTCAAAGATAGTTTATGCTTGAAATTAGCCCTGTTTTTATATCTTTCAACATTCTGTTTTTTTTGGAGTTACTATGTGCTTGAAAACTTGCTGAAACAACAATGGAACAGTTTTTTTGTTTTTTGTTAACTGCTGAAACAGGTGCCAGGCCTACAGGCCATATATTTTGCCACCTTAACTGTAAGGGCAAAATATGTGTGGACTGCATCTTGCTTCTGTTTCTTACGGAAATAGGCGTCCTGCATTTTTTTTTCTTTGAACATTAGTGCTTGAAAGCTTAGCTGCTGAAACAAAAACAGAACACTTTTAATATTTTTTGTTAACTGCTAAAACAGGCGGCTGGCCTGCAGAATATATAGTTTGCCATCTTAACTTCAGAGGCAATATATGTGTGAACTGCATGTTGCTTCTGTTTCTTATGGAAAGAGGAATTTTTGCAACCACATCTTCTGTAATCAAGAACGTTCAACTTCGTCCTGTTAATTGTACAATGCCTTTTCATATCAGCTATGTTGAATATATATAAAAACCAAGCTGCTTATCATACCAACCCCTTTCACTGATCTATCCTCCTGTTCATTCATGATTATGTTTAATTTATTCAAGTTAAATGTGTCTTATTCATGCAATTAAGGTTGGTGCATTCAAGTCCCGCAGCAACGCGCGGGCATATTTTCTAGTTATTATCTAAACCACATGTTAATAGATTCTGTTTGTGAATCAAAATTTCATAAAATTACTATTTTAACCTTCCCGTCAAAATTGAACAAAAAATGTAAAAGGTGGACAACCTAATAATTACATCTCACATAATTTTACTGTTTTTATACTAACCTTACAACTATCTAGACATAGCATGCCCCATTTAAAAATTAAAAATTAAATAAGAAAACTTCACTCCTCTCTCCACGTCTTTCTCTACCGGATTCTCCCCGTTCTCTCACTCTCTTTTTCTTTCTTTGTTTTTTTTTTCATTTTTATTTTGCTTTTGTTCAGTTATCATCCTTAATAAGTCATGATAAAATAAAAGACAAACTTGGTTCCACTTCCACACACAAAATGTATGCTGATTGCTAGTTATTACTATTCTAACAAAAAGCTCTCCATCATATTGCTCTAGAAAAAAAGCCGTCTACAAGTGATGCCTAGCGAAACAAAAACACAAAAACAGAAGAAGAAAAAAAATTAAAAAGAAACACATTTCTTCGCAAATTAAATCAATGGTTTGGCATAATTCATGGGCACTTGCACTTGGGACGCCCGGCTTCTTTCGCCTTCCAGTAGTTGTAGCAGGGACAGTTTTCCTTGTGTCCATGTGTGCCCGATGGAACACAAAGACACTTAGCGCACCATTTATTGCAAAAGAACATGCATGGCTTCTTATGTAAAGTTGCTGAACATCGATTCTTGCATGCCTTTGGGCAATCTATCGCTGCTCAAAAAAATAAAAACAAATCCACGTACAAAACACTGGTTGTAAGGAAGTTTTGGGGGATTGTAAGAGAAAACATGTGCAGTAATTAATTAGTACGTACCATTACTAGGAGGTGATCCGTGTCCTCCAGTCTGAAAATTTTGAAACCACATGATCAGCGATGAAATCGAACGGATCTCAATAATATTCAATACTCTCATCAGTTGATTTCTTTCTAGTTTGCATAATAATTACATAATTAATTCAGTAGATATGGACTCAAACAAAAAGGGGATCAGAAATCTTCATCATGTTTTGAAAGACTTTGCGCAAAACCAAGTACAATGACGTTCTAGAAATTATACAGCCGACCCCAATTAGTGGAATAATTAAGGCTTTGTTGTTATTGTTGTATGAACTACATGTAAAAATAATGAAGAACGAAGAATGTTCATCGTTTGTGAAGTATGAGCTGGGTATAGAGAATAGATCAGTATGAGTGTAGGACGCCCTAGTTGAGGATTTATTTGTTTCGGGGTCAAACAGTAGTGCCTCCCATTGTAATCTTTAACCATGTAAAATCCCCTTATACTGACTAGGTTTCTCAAAAGACAAAAAAGAAGAACGAAGAAGCCTTACAGTTAGAGGGACGGTTGCACCAGCATTCTGATCCTCTTGAGCCTGCAGTGAGAGTGATAAATAACTCAGAAAAATCCACTCAGCACCCAGCATAGCACAAATTAATCAACAGATGAGATATAGAGGGCTACAAGTACCAAAGAAATATCAATGGCAAAGGTCATCAAGGCTAGGATGACAAAAAGAGCAGTTGGAATCCACGAGAGTCTGGCCATTTTTCTTGCTTGATGAACAAATATATTCTCCAAGCTATCTTCCCTCTGAGTCTGAGATGTAGTTTGAGTAATGAGCATGTATTAAGACTTGTCCAGTGGTCGGTATTTATATTTAGAATTTGTGTTGTGGTAGTTTTAGTGATGCTAAGATATAGGAAATTTGGATGTGTTGCACGCCATATATAATTTCCTTTGAATCAAGGAGATATGTGGATGTGGTGTCAAGTTTACTGCCATTAATTAATTAAGGCCAAATCTGAGAAAATTTTGAGTTTACTAGAAAGAGTCATACATGCATGCTCTGCATGTGTCAAAGGAACTTATTTTTCTCAGTATTACAAGGGTGAGGGAGAAACTTAGGAGTCAAAAGAGGAGTGTAGTTGTTTACCAAAAAAAAATAGTGGAGTGTAATCAGTATATTACACTGAATTGCAAAACTAGTATTATTTATGATAAAGTGACTAATTGTGCACTATAAATAATGTCACTAAAAGAAATCGAATGAGTCTTCTACCAGAAGTGTCATAATTTAAAAAAAAAAAAAAACGATATTATCTACACTAAGAAATGGGGGAGTGGGCTAAACCTTATAATGAGTTAGCAATAATGTAGTTCAAATTTACTTTTGGTGAGAATTGAACCTACGAGTAAAAAGAAATATCATTAAACCGTAGTACTTAGTAACACCACAAGTGTCATATTTACACATTGCATAATCACACACGAATACAATTTGGTAATAAATTCATAATAACTATATTATGATGGAAATTGGTTATAAGCAAGTGATGGTTAGGCCCCATTCTGAGTTCAAACTCTCCCACTCCCTTGTAGTGTAGTTTATAGTAGGAATATCGCACGCTGTGAGACAAAGAAGCTAGTAGATGCATTACTCGAAATGAAGCAAGTATAGCGTTTCACCTTTGAAATTCTTTTTCTTGTCCTATTTTTATGCAAAAATCTTCTTTCCATTGCAAGTTTTACATATGAAAATTATTTGGCTATTCATTTCTTTCTTTTTTATCATATCTATGATTTACGTATCAATTTGTTTATTTTTTCAGGTCCATGTAAAGATGGACTCTATTTGTTATTGTTTTCGTCTCCTCAAACTCTTGATACATGTGGACCATTCGATCTTGGGACCGTTGTACACTCAAATGTTCTAGATCGTACCATATGTACAAGCATCAGGGAAGGCTAACACTTTGACAGCAGTGGGCCGACAACATCAGAAGTTGTCGGGCCAACTCACACTGTAAATGCGTGAAACTTATGTGTTTGGCATAAAAATATATAACGTGGTTGAAGTCAGTCTTGCTAAAAAATGCCAGCTCATGCTAGAATTGATTGGGCTCTAAGTCGAGCGTGGTAAGACCTGACAATTGCCTTAACAATTTTTTACTGGTGGAGCTTGTTTTTAGGGTCTTTAGGTAACTCTTTCCCTTTTACCTTGGTAATTTAGGCATGTGTGGACTTGCTTTTAAACATAGATACGATGGTTTCATAAAGAATGATGGATATTAAGGACTCCACATGCAAATTTGTCAATTGTGCATAACTCAAAATTACTGTTGTATGTAATTTTTATTGTGAAATCGAGTTACATCTTATGTCAGAAATCACTCAACTTCGAGTGAGCCACTAATTATAGCACTTTGCAAATCGACTTCAATAGAGACATAATGCTCATATCATCACCATCATCCTCAAGTTTCAGACTAGTGTGTTGTTGGAAAAAGCTTTGGAAAAAACTGCTATATATTTTATTATAAACTATTAATAATACACAATAAAATCTCTACAAATGCAAGAAAAACAAGGAATAGAAGAATCTTAAGAGATCGAGGCTAGAATTTGATTCTATAGCCTTAAGACAAGATTGCCCCTTAGTGGTGTCTCAAGGTTTGCGTTGGCAAATGTCTCCCAGGATACAACAATTTTTCTCTTTGCGGAAGTAGCACTCCAATCCACAAAGAACAACAAACCAAAAGTATGTAAAACTCTCTTTTATGAAACACTAAACTACTTTAATTTCTAATTGATTTCTGGATGCAAAACTACGTCTAAAATGCTTGACTTGGTAGTCTACTTATAGGTATGGACGTGCCTCCTTTCCAAAGGTTACGTCTGTTTCCAAAAGACAAAGAATGCAACTTTGTTCAAAGTTATGTTTGCTCCTGAAAGACAAAGGTTTCTTCCGTTTTTACAAAAGACAAAGGATGCAACCTTTGTTCAAAGTTGCATCTGTTTCCAAAAAACTGCAACCTTTGTTCAAACATACATAACCTTGTGAAAAGCTGCCGGTCAAAACCCATCCTATGACCACTTTCATAACAAAATAAATTATAAGGAACAATTGCATACTGCAATATATAGGCAGTTCAAGACTAACCCCCTTTTCCACTTTAATTTTCCTTCTCTTGAATATTTAACATTTAAATATTAATAATACCAATATTTAAATTATTAAATTTCTAACAATCCCCACATGAATGAAAATTAGTAAAATTTAATACAAATGAAGATGCAAACACTTAGAGAGAGTTTAATTGGACAAATACTGTATGGGGAGAGGTAGCTTTTGGCTTTAAACCTTCCTTAGTGAAATATTATCGGATTTACTAACTAATCAGTGAATGCGATGTCTTGAACTACTCAGTTGTTGATGTAAACCAAGACAATAATATTCACACGGTTTTCCTCCGAACACATATGATTCTACGGTTGTGTTCATTTTGGCCCTAAACAATTTCGGTAATCCTGAGTGCTTTAGAGAATTTAGCCTTATAATTCTTATAGAAATAACCACTTTTCACACTCATGTAGGTGATATCTCATTAAGAGCATCCTGCACAATACCTCACTTGTTATTTCCAAGTATAGGAATCATTAAAAGAAAAGCTTATCCTAAATACGCTGCAGATAGCACTATTTCATCATAGGACATGGGTAGGAGATTATCTCCGCATTGCTCCCATTGAATCATCCACAATTCGGTTGTCCCTTGAACCTCGATCTTGGGATCTCCAGTCAGCTAGGTTGAGTTGCCATTATGGCAATTCTTAAAGATGTAGGCTTTTAACCCATTCCCCTCGATAATACAACTTACTCTCTAGTCAAACCTTTAAAAATTGGTACCACTAGGTTGACTACTCAATATATGGCCATTACAAATTTTATATCCCAAAAATAGATAAGCTACCCCCATAATTCTTTGATAATTGTGGTTAATTTTAACGTCATTGTTAAATCGATCACCCGTTTTTTTTTTTTCTCTCTCTCTCTTTAAGAAGTAGGAAACAACTAAGATAGACCGTATATATCTCTCTTCTTAGGCCTTCATGCCTCACTAGCCATTATGGGAAAAACACTTCTTGGCTTTTATCCTTTCCCTTCTTATGACTAACATGCATGACCATTCATATGCTTACTTAATAAGCATTATCATGTCTAATACATTTTTTTTTTCTTTCCAAATATCCCATGTTTTAATGTCTAGTCTTTTCCTTTCCAAAGACCAAATGTTTTGACTTAAAACGTCACTTTTATTGTCCCAACAGAATGTCAAATTGATTTCTTTATGAATAATCATGAGTCGGGTAAAACTCACTTCGCAGTGACATATCATATCACACTGACCTTTGGATGGTCATGTCTGTTCATTTGTTTAAAACAAGAAAGGTTGTGTTTTTAAATCACAATAATTTGTAAAGCAATGAAAACCCGAAGGATCACATCCTCATCGCCAAACTATCTTTATACCGGTTCATGAGGAAATGACAACATTCAGTGATTACCCATTGGGTTGGCAGCCAACCTTTCATTGCAATGCAACTGATGTACATAGCACAAGCATTCAAACAGCCAAATGTAATAACAGCATATGTATAAATCTCAAAGCAATATCCGAGATCGAACAACAGACATGAATAAAAGGCCTTTACTGTAAATGCAGTCATACCAACAGTAGCACATAACGTTTAACATAATATTCAGTGCCAAAGATAAGTATCTTATGCGAAATGCAAGGTAAATCTACCCAGTCTAAAAAACGCATCCTTTCAGAAGACAGGTTTTCCCTACATACCAATCTTAAAACCGTTACACACTTGAGACTACTAGAACAAAAGTTGTGAAACAATACCTTTATCCTTTTGCATGCATATTTCAGAGAATTGAAATTAATAAACTCATTGTCCACAAATACATGAATTTAATTAATGTAATGTCAGAAACAAAATGCATATATGCAGGTATATATATTAGTATAACTTTTCTGTGCCATCATTACTCGCACAACAGGAGAAAATCACAATCGATTTCAAAGCAGTGCATGACCAATGTTGTCGAGAAAATTAAAACCCACAAGCCAAATTAAAATAGCAATAAACCAATAAACTTGTAAAGAATATTTGGCTCAATTAACTATAAACAAACGAACAAAATAATGATGAAAGATTACGAGTTGGAATCTTTTGAATCAAATTAACTTGCAGTACATTTGGAAACAGTTAACATATGTACTGTTTTATGCAAAACTAGAAACCAAACCATTCTACCATGAAAAGGAAAATCCACGCATAAACATACATGATAGAATATTGATCTTAAACAAACATAGCAACCAAACCATAATTTGTCTTAAGATTGGTGTTGAGAGTGGTATTGATCCAATTTTCATTCATGTGGGGGATTGTTGGAAAATTTAATAATAATAATATTATATTAAATTTATTAATTGAATGAAAATTAGAAGTGGTGCCTTTTGGTAGGAAGATATGTCTACTTAAATGAAGTGTTTCAACTTTAGACTCTTCATGAATAGTTACATGTTTTCCAAAAAGGTATCTCACATTCTATAAATAGGAAAGCCCTCTATAATCACATAGAGAGAACTTTTCATTGTTTACATAAACATATATAGGGTGCACTAAATATTAGAGAGTCTCATTGAGTCCATATAAGAGAGTTTTCAATACAATCATGGTTCATGGAGCCTTGTGATTTGAAGTGCTACTATTATAAGGACGTGGTTGTTGTATCTTGGAAATCATGCGCTGATCAATCATGAGCACTGTAGTGGGGAATAAACTTGTCTTAAGGACAAAGTATCCAACACTTGCCTCGACCGTATTTTCTAGGTTTTTCTAATCCATTATATCATGTTCATTTAATATTGGTTACTCATGTACATATATTATTATGATATATAATTACATGAATTATTTTTTAATTTTCTATGTGATTTATTATAGCAATTAGATCCAATTTTTCCAACATATGTGCACGAAGAAAAATTGATATATACTATGCAAAGACACTGTAGCGCAAGTTGTTATTGGTGAATGTGAATAGTCTAAGCACAACATCTTTTTAAATCGCACTGGATGAATTGATTTTGGATTTGGGGTTTTGAGAATTTTTGATATGGATATAAGGTTCTTGAATAGTCTGCTCTCACACACTGTGTGGAATAGTTATAATAAAAAAATGTCATAATAAAAGTTTAAATTATTATCTAAACTACATGTTAATATACCCTGTTTGTTAATCAAAACTTCGTAAAATTACTATTTTAACCCTCTCGCCAAAATTGAACAAAAAATATAAGACGTGGACAACCTAATAATTACATCTCACATAATTTTACTGTTTTTATACTAACCTTACAACAATCTAGACGTAGCATGCCCTATTTAAAAATTAAAAATTAAATAAGAAAACTTCACTTCTCTCTCCTCGTCTTTCTCTGTTAGATACTCCCCGTTCTCTCATACTCTCATTTTCTTTCTTTTTCTTTTTTTTTTCATTTTTATTTTGCTTTTGTTCAGTTATCATCCTTAATAAGTCATAGTAAAATAAAAGACAAACTTGGTTCCACTTCCACACACAAAATGTGTGCTGATTTCTAGTTATTATAATTCTAACAAAAAGCTCTCCATCATATTGCTCTAGAAAAAAAGCCGTCTACAAGAGATGCCTAGCGAAACAAAAACACAAAAACAGAAGAAGAAAAAAAAAATTAAAAAGAAACATACTTCTTCGCAAATTAAATCAATGGTTTGGCATAATTCATGGGCACTTGCACTTGGGACGACCCGCTTCTTTCGCCTTCCAGTAGTTGTAGCAGGGACAGTTTTCCTTGTGTCCATGTGTGCCCGATGGAACACAAAGACACTTAGCGCACCATTTATTGCAAAAGAACATGCATGGCTTCTTATGTAACGTTGGTGAACATCGAAGCTTGCATGCCTTTGGGCAATCTATCGCTGCTCAAAAAAATAAAAACAAATCCACGTACAGAACTCAACTGGCTGTAAGGAAGTTTTGGGGGATTGTAAGAGAAAACATGTGCAGTAATTAATTAGTACGTACCTTTACTAGGAGGTGATCCGTGTCCTCCAGTCTGAAAATTTTGAAACCACTTTATCAGCAAAGAAATCGAACTGATCTCAATAAAATTAAATACTCTCATCAGTTGATTTCTTTCTAGTTTTCATAATAATTACATAAAAAAATCATACAACCGACCCCACTTAGTGGAAGAATTAAGGCTTTGTTGTTGTTGTTGTTGTATGAACTACATGTAAAAAGAGGAAGAATGAAGAATGTTCATCGTTTGTGAAGTATGAGCTGGGTATAGAGACTAGATTAGTATGAGTGTAGGACGCCCTAGTTGAGGATTTATTTGTTTCAGGGTCAAACAGTAGTGCCTCCCGTTGTAATCTTTAACCATGTAAAATCCCCTTATACTGACTAGGTTTCTCAAAAGACAAAAAAGAAGAACGAAGAAGCCTTACAGTTAGAGGGTGGACGGTTGCACCAGCATTCTGATTCTCTTGAGCCTGCAGTGAGAGTGATAAATAACTCAGAAAAATCCACTCAGCACCCAGCATAGCACAAATTAATCAACAGATGAGATATAGAGGGCTACAAGTACCAAAGAAATATCAATGGCAAAGGTCATCAAGGCTAGGATGACAAAAAGAGCAGTTAGAATCCACGAGAGTCTGGCCATTTTTCTTGTTCGATAAACAAATATATTCTCCAAGCTATCTTCCCTCTGAGCCTGGATGTAGTTTGAGTAATGAGTATGTATTAAGACTTGTCCAGTGGTCGGTATTTATATTTTGAATTTGTGTTGTGGTAGTTTTAGTGATGCTAAGATATAGGAAATTTGGATGCATTGCACGGCATATATAATTTCCTTTGAATCAAGGAGATACGTGGTGTCAAGTTTAATGGCCAAATCTGAGAAAATTTTGGGTTTACTAGAAAGAGTCATACATGCATGCTCTGCATGTGTCAAAGGAAGTTATTTTTCTCAGTATTACAAGGGTGAGGGAGAAACTTAGGAGTCAAAAGAGGAGTGTAGTTGTTTACCGAAAAAAAAAAATAGTGGATTGTAAGCACTATATTACCCTGAATTGCAAAACTAGTATTATTTATGATAAAGTGACTAATTGTGCACTATAAATAATGTCACTAAAAGAAATTGAATGAGTCTTTACCACAAGTGTCATCAAATTTTTTTTTAATAAACGATATTATCTGCATTAAGAGATGAGAGAGTGGGTTGAACTTTGCAATGAGTTAGCAATAATGTGGTTCAAATTTGCTTTTAGCGAGAATCGAACCTACAAGTAAAAAGAAATATCACTAAACCGTAGTACTGAGTGACACCACAAGTGTCATATTTACACATATTTGGTAATAAAGTCATAATAATTGTATTATGATGGAAATTGGTTATAAGCAAGTGATGGTTAGGCCCCATTATGAGTTCAAACTCTCCCGCTCCCTTTTAGTGTAGTTTAGAGTAGGAATATCGCATGTTGTGAGACAAAGAAGCCAGTAGATGCAGTACTTGAAATGAAACAAGTATAGCATTTCACCTTTGAAATTCTTTTTCTCTTCCTATTTTTATGCAAAAATCTTTTTTTCCATTGCACGTTTTACATATGAAAACGTTTCTTTGCTTTTTATCATATCTATGATTTCAGTATTGATTTGTTTCTTTTTTCAGGTCCCATGTAAAGATGGACTCTATTTGTTATTGTTTTCGTCTCCTCAAACTCTTGATGTGTCATTCATTGTTTGGCATCAACGTCTTGGTTATCCATCTATGTCTCTTTTGTCTAGTTTAAGTTCTAGCTTAGGTTCAAGTTCTATTAATTTTCAAAAATTTTGTAACTCCACACAGCTTCCTTTTGTCTTGAATCATGAACGTGCTAGTATTCCCTTTCTTTACAACACACTTCGGTGGGTGGAAGCCTATTGTTTCGTTGTTACGTACTATTTACATATGATTATTCATGTTACTTGTGGATCTATCCAACGAAAAGAAACATGAAATTTTTACGCTTTTTCAAACTTATGTGGCTATGTCTAGCAATTTAATTATTTCATACCTTTTTTAATGTATCTTCAAAGTGACGGTGTTAAATCACTTATTTTTTTGAGTTCTGAGTCTCAAGTATTCAAAAATGTTTTTCGTGTCTTCATACTCCACAACAAAATAAATTCGTTGAAAGCAAGCATCGTCACATTATTGACACCATTTCGACGTTTCTTGCCATGCTCACATTTGTCCACCTAAGTAACTTACCTTCCACTACCACACTCGGTCAACTCCTCACTCCTCATTTGATCGTTATCCTGAAGAATACTACACGAGTTTAGGCTCATATAAATAGTTAGAAAATTACTTTTCTATAGCGATTAAAAAAGTAATCTAATGGTTATCTCTTTAGCCATGTCACTTAATGAAGTCATTTTTTTGTAGACCATCGTCTCCATTTGGACTTTGATCCACATCAGGCACTGCATTGCAGTTTTATATTTTCCGACTTTGTATTGCAATTTATTTTTTATAATAGTCAAATTAGTCACATTCAATATTCGAATATTAACAAATGACATTTTACCATAGTGGTACAAATGAATTGAGTTATTGCATGACGGCGTGAGTTCAAATCCCGTAAGTAACTAATCTAACATTTAATATAACAAAATCTATTGTTTAATAAAAAAAAATTTATTCAAATATGAAAATTAAGTATTTTGATTATAATAAATTTAAAACTGCAACGCAAAATCTGAGTTTACAAATTTTGCTTTACATAAACTGCATTGCCAAACCGGTCAAAGAGTAACTATAATTATTACAGGAAGAAAATTACCAACCCAAACACAAAAGTGATGTAATTATGTGCCAAATTATCAAAACGGCACGTTGCTTTTCTAAAATATCGTGGAACAAATAACCCGCTGCCGCAAAGTCAATATCTCCTTCTTGATTTCTCGTATTAAATTTTGAAGCCTCCTTCAAGATCAAGTTTTGCAACGTGAAATAAATTGGTAAAGCTTCTTCAAAGAAAATGTCAAATAAGATTAAAAAATATTCAAATATTCTTCAATGGATATATGATATATGATGTGACAATTAAGTCATTTAACTTTTTACTTTTAGTTTTCTTACAATAAACAAAGAAGAAGTCAAATATATTTAATAAAAAATTTAAAGTAAGGGTCCCATTGAACCAATAGAATAAAAATTAAAATCAATTTTAATTATTTTATAATAGTTAACGTAACTATAGGCCCAAGTCGAGATGGAGAGCAATTCAACTCAAGCTCTTGCCGCTTTCAGAGATCACTCACGAGACTTGTCTACATTGGATTATTAGCAGAGATATTTTTCAGATTGCGAAAACTCTACACCCTTGTAAGTTTCTGCACGCCCCTAGAACTTGTAATGGAATAGCCCATGGATTGGCTTAGTTTGCTACTTCCATTGGCAATGTAATAGTTTGGTTTGAGAATCCCCTAACCTTATTCAGGATCTCCTCATCCAAGATAGATGTAACCTTTGATTTCAAGTCGATAATATATTGTCTTCCTTTTAAAAAAAGGCATATTATGATGCTCTAACAGCATCTACAATGGAGATGTAAAACACTCACTCTTAAAAAGATAAAAAGAAAAGGCAGGCAGTACTGTAATTGTAACCCTTTTCAAATCCACCAACAACAAAATCCTTCGTCTCTCTGCTCTCTCTCTATTTACCAGTTACCCTACTGTTACTCTTTACCATCTCTGCCATTCATAGGGGAGGGTAACTAGTAAGCAGAAAGATTAGGGGGTGCTCCAAAAGCCCTTAAATTTACAACAGCCCACCCTCTCTCCGCCTCTCCGACCTGGATAGATCCTAAACCTCGAACACCAATCTCTCCTTTCATCCTATGCGACGATTTCCCTGAAAAGCTCTCCGGGCGTTACTGGTCTTCTTCTCCAGATTTTGAGGTAAAACAATGAATATTTTTAAATATTTTAATGTTTTAGTTCAATTAATTTTCGATTGATTTGTGCTTCGGCTTCACCTTATCGATTGCCCGTAACCTGTTATTTGCACTTTACAATCCAAATCTTTGTTGGGTTCTCTGTAAAAACTGAATCTTCATAGGCGTCTCTTGCCCTTCCGTGGTTAGTTTATTGTGTAGCAGATAGTGGGTTTTGATTGTTCTCCTCGTTTCTTCGATTTTTTTTTTCAATTATTGCAATAGGGTTTTTCTTCAAATTTAGAATCTGTTATGGGTTTTGCTTCTTTTTTTTTTCATGTAATTTTGAGCAGAATGTATTTATTTGAGTAGATAATGGGAGTCGGTTTACATTTTGGTATTTGGTTGTTTGCAGTAGTTGCTAATGGTTATTGATCTTTTGCTCATATTGTTATCATTATTGTTGTTGTTATAGTTGGCGTGTTTTGATTTGTTTTAGGAATTTATGGGGAAGAAAGTTAAGAAGAAGGCTAGAGCTCCTCCAAGGGAGAAGTTGGTTGCAGCCGATTCCCCCAAAAAAGTCCCCCAACCAAGCAACCCAAGTGTTAAGGACGGTGATGATGGGGTTTCAGTTGCGAAAGAGAGAAGGCCTTGTCCTCATGTTGAAAAAGGTGTTGATTTGGATAAATTGTCAGCTAAAATTGGGTCTTCAGGACCTGTTAGGTGTGAAGATTGCAGGGAAGGAGCGCTTGATAGGAGGGGTGGTAAAGGAAAGGGAAAACATGGGAAGAAGAAAGGAAGTTCCTCAGTGGATTCAAAATCGGAGTCCAAAGCCATTTGGGTTTGTTTGGAGTGTGGTCATTATTCTTGTGGCGGGATTGGGCTTCCTACAACCCCTCAATGTCATGCAGTTCGGCATGCCAGGCAGACTCGTCACCCAATTGTGATCCACTTTGAAAAGCCACAGATGTGGTGGTGCTTCCCGTGCAACATGCTTGTTACAATTGAAAAGACGGAAGAGGATGGTGAACAAAAAGATGTGTTTGCGGATGTTGTGAAATTGATAAAGGGTCATTCATCGGAGGGATCATCGGTTAATGCTGAGGATATGTGGTTTGCAAGTGGCAGTGTGACAAGCGAAATCAAATCAGCTAGCAATATATCATGTGGTTTGGATGGAAGAGGTGCTTATATGGTTAGAGGCTTGGTTAATCTTGGTAACACTTGCTTCTTTAATTCTGTCTTACAGAACCTTCTAGCCATAGATAGGTTGCGGGGTTACTTCTTAAATTTAGATGCATCTACTGGAGCTCTTACTGTTTCATTGAAGAAACTCTTTACTGAAGCAAAACCAGAGGCAGGACTTAAGAATGTGATAAACCCAAGGTCACTTTTTGGTTGTGTTTGTTCCAAGGCTCCCCAATTTAGGGGATATCAGCAGCAAGACAGTCATGAATTGCTTCGTTGCTTACTGGATGGATTGTGCACTGAGGAGTTGAGTATGAGGAAACGTATAAATTCTTCTCAGGAAAATGGGAATCCATCAAACTCAGGTCCTACTTTTGTGGATGCTACATTTGGGGGCCAAACATCAAGTACTGTTTGCTGTGTTGAATGTGGTCACTCCTCAACTGTGTACGAGTCATTTTTAGATCTGTCATTGTCAGTTCCAACCAGAAAATCCCCATCTAAGGCTGCCCAACCCACCTCTCGAGCAAAGAAGACGAAGTTGCCGCCT